ACACACACACCGGAGAGCGTTACTCCCGCTCAGGATGGTCCAGGCAAGGCACACACACAGACACACACACACCGGAGAGCGTTACTCCCGCGCAGGCCGGTTCCGGCTTGGCTTTTTTCTGGTTGTCTCCTCCTTTGTCCCTCTCCCCTGCTCTCCCAGTCCAGCTCCCCCTGTGCCCCCGCCCGCCTGCGCCCCACCCCCTGCTCCGGTACCTGTGTAGCCCATGTCGCAGAAGCAGACCCCCGAGATGCAGTCGCCATGCCCCCCGCAGTGGTTGGGACAGGGCTCGGAGATGTAGACCCCATCCAGGGCAAAGGGAGGGGCGTCCCGGTGCACACTGCTCTCCTGGAACCAGCGGAAGCGCGTCTTGCTGAGGGAGCGCAGATGAGGGCAGGAGCATGGAGGAGATGAGGAGGAGGTGGTGAGACGGGCAGAAGGGAGACAATGAGGGGCAAGGGGATGGGGGAGACAGAGAAGGAACTCAGAATTCAGAGTGGGGGCTGTTTACGGTACGGTATTGTGTCGTACTGGTTGTGTATATCTCCGTGTCTCTATCAATGCAGTGTGCAATCACGGTGCATCAGGGGTGTGTGTCTCAGTCAATGTGTGTGATTACAGCGTGTGCCAGTGTTTTTGTGTCTTAGGGTGTGTGTGTTTACAGTGTGTGCCAGCGCTGGTGTATCTTTGTCTACAGCGTATCTGTGTTTGTGTGTCTCAGTGAGGGTGTGTATCTACAATGCACGTCAATGTTTGCACGTCTGTGTCAGAGTGTGTGATTATTGTATGTCAGTTTCTTTGAGCAACTATCAATGTGTGTGTCTGGTGTGCATGCCAATGTCTGTGCGTCTGCGTCAGAGTGTGTGACTCTGTGTGTCAGTCTGTGTTTGTGTGCATCTAGTGTGCATACTGATGCTTGTATATCTGGGTGTGTACGATCACAATACATGCCAGAGTGTCTCAGACAGTGTGAGCGAGCGATTCCAGTGTCAATGTGTGTCTTTGTCAGGTTGTGTGCATCCTTACAGCGTGTGTCAGTGTATGTGTGCCTCCTGTAGTGTGCGACTCCAGTCTGCACGACTCTGCTGGTGTCCGTGTGGGAGTCCAGGGGGCTCTGTGTCTTTGCCTGTCGTCGTACCTGGCAGCCACAGTGCGTGGTATCACCACAGTGACCCTGGTCCAGTGCTCATAGTCCCCAGCGCTGTAGACGGTCGGCTCACGAAGTTCACGCCTGCTGCCCTGGCAGGTGCCCCCTCCTGGAGAGGCTGGGTAGCACCCCTCCCGGACCAGAGCCCAGCTGCGCCCTGCGTCCTGGGAGAACTGCAGCAGCACTGGAGCCGAGGCGCTGAACTGGGACTCACAGCCGATATTCAGCTGAGGGAGAGGCAGGGAGAGCATGGGGTAACAGGACAGAGAAACACTCTGGGATTAGACACACGCTCTCCCCCATGATAATGAATCTGATTTTATTTATGACCTTCAGAATCAGGACAGCTTCCAATCCTACTGGGGGAAGAAACTCAAAAGAGCTGCAGCCCAGTATGGGATCTCCTGGCACTGCCTAACGAACAGAGCGTGACCCTCTCAAAGAAATAATCTTACTGTTCTAAACATCTGTAAATGTTCTGCTCACTTTTTTTGCTTTGGCAACAGTGTAATCCATTGGTCATTCTGATAAATTTCTTTTAATCTAAGTACTGAAAGAGGATTTTGCTGTGTCTGGAATGGGCAGTGATGCTGACAGATTTCCTGTTTGGAGTGCAGGCAGTAAGAAGGAAAAGACAGTCACAGCAATCCATCCCAGTGTACGAGATCTGGTAATCCCTGTTTCTGGACTGCTGTTTCTTAATCTACTTTTGTAATTGAGGAGTTAGCTGAATCAGAAGACCAGTGCCTGAAATTCATCCCCTTGTAGCATGGGGCATTTACCCCCCCCTGGTGGTCAATACCTTGAACTGCAGGGTGTATCCTGGGCGCAGGGCAAGGTCCCGGGTTACTGCCATGCGGTCGCCCTCTGAGCGCCCGAACACCATGGCAGAGGGCGTGGGTGCACAGAAACTCTCGTTCTTCTCCATCCCCTCATTGCCCAGCATCAGCCACACACTCAGCTGGTTTAGAGGGTAGTCAAACGCTGGCTTTTCGTAGAAATTCTGAGAATCAGAAAGCCATAGGAAGACAGACTATTACTTGTGTGCCAGCTTGTCTTCTCTGCTATCTGTGCACCAGTGTGACAGCTCCATTACCTGTGCACCAATGTGTTAACCTCGTTTAGTTGCGTACCAGTGACAGTTCTGTGAAATGTGTGCCAATGTCTTCTCTGTTAACTGTGTGTCAACATGCCAGTTCTGTGCACCATTATGTCTGCTCTCTTATCTGTCTACCTGTGTGTCTTCTCGTCACCTGTGCACCAGTGTGTTAGCTCTGTGTTAGTGTGTCAGCTGTCAGCCCTGTGCCAGTGTGTCAGCTCTGTCAGATGTGTGCCAGTGTGTCAGCTCTGTGTTAGCGTCAGCTCTGTCAGCTGTGTGCCAGTGTGTCAGCTTTGTTATCTGTTTGCCAATGTGTCAGCTGTCAGCTGTGTGACAGTGTCAGCTCTGTTATTTGTGTGCCGGTGTGTCAGCCCTGTGCCAGTGTGTCAGCTCTGTCAGATGTGTGCCAGTGTGTCAGCTCTGTGTTAGCGTCAGCTCTGTCAGCTGTGTGCCAGTGTGTCAGCTTTGTTATCTGTTTGCCAATGTGTCAGCTGTCAGCTGTGTGACAGTGTCAGCTCTGTTATTTGTGTGCCGGTGTGTCAGCCCTGTGCCAGTGTGTCAGCTCTGTCAGATGTGTGCCAGTGTGTCAGCTCTGTGTTAGCGTCAGCTCTGTCAGCTGTGTGCCAGTGTGTCAGCTTTGTTATCTGTTTGCCAATGTGTCAGCTGTCAGCTGTGTGCCAGTGTCAGCTCTGTTATTTGTGTGCCGGTGTGTCAGCCTTGTGCCAGTGTTTCAGCTGTCAGCCCTGTGCCAGCGTGTCAGCCCTGTCAGTTGTGTGCCAGTGTGTCAGCTCTGTGTTAGTGTCAGCTCTGTTATTTGTGTGCCAGTGTTTCAGATCTGTGTCTGTGTGTCAACTCTGTCAGCTCTGTATCAATGTGTCAGCTGTGTGCCAGTTGTCAGCTCTGTGTCAGTGTGTCGGCTGTGTGCCAGTGTTTCAGATCTGTGTCAGTGTGTCAACTCTGTCAGCTCTGTATCAATGTGTCAGTTGTGTGCCAGTGTGTCAGCTCTGTTACCTGGGGGAGAGTGGGGTTTGCAATGGGTATAATGTGTTTCTCTCTCTCAGAGAGGATGATGATGTCGTCAATGGCCCACTGGTCGTACCCCTCCCCTGAGTGCAGCGGCTGCCACCAGCGGAACCGGGTGCAAGGTGTCTTGGCAGAGCTGGGTATCTCATAGTGAACAAACCTGAATGAGTAGAGGAAAGAGTTAAAATAATCGCTCTCTCCTAGGGCCCCCAGTGAATAGCACGCTATAATGTGCAGGCAACCCCTAATGAATTTAGAATTAGTCACTGCTTTAAATTACACAAGAAACAGCTCCCATGGAAGGGCACATCTCCTTTTCCTCCCATCTGTCCCGTTAACTCCACTTCCTCTTTCTCTCACCTTGGTTAAAATCAGTAAGCAACCCCCTCTCTCCCCCACCTAACACACCTTTCTCCCCTGCCTCTCCTGCTCTCCCTGCTCATCTCTGCCTGTCGTCTCACCGTGGCTTGGTGAAGTCAGTGAAGTACATTTCTGCAATGAGCCCCCAGCTGATGCCCCCGTTGTTGCTGTACTGCAGGAGCACACCCTCCTCTCGGCTGTCGGCATGGTTACACTCCGCCCAGTCCCCGCCCACGCGGAGGTAGAACTGCACAAACTCCACCCACTCCGTGTCCAGGTCCCAGCTAACCAGCTGCCTGCGCCCTGCCTGAAAAAGAGCAGAAAGGGATAGAGAGGGGAGACGGGGGGTTACAGAAAGAAGGGGAGGGAGAGGGACGGGGAGAAGGGAGAGGAAGAAGGGTGATGTTGGGGTGAAGAAATAGTGGGGGAAATTACAGAAAGGGAGAAAGATAGAGACTTACGCTCCAAAACACAAAGATGGGCCCACTGGGATGTCACCATTTACAGACAATGTGCTCGCCATGCCAAGGAAAACAACTGAAATGGCACAGACTGTCATGGCACGAAGTGTGCATGAAGCCAGGCAGGGACACAGACTCAGCCACATGGATATCAGTGGACTACCTTGCTGAAGTAGAGTGAAGACCCAGCAGAGACGACCCCACAGCCCTGCTCTGGGGTCACCACCTGTCCGCCGATCACTTCCTTCCAGGCGCTGTGCAGAGAACTTTGGGACTCAAAGTCTGACATCACGCTGGAGGGGAGGTGTGTGCTGGGCTGGCAGTCTGGCCCCGAGAAGCCTTCATCACACCTGAGGGAGCAGGGAGAGGTGGAAAGAGTTTGGCGACAGGGAGTGCAGTACGTAACAGATCTAATCCCAGAATTCCCACTCCTGTCAGAACCAGAACATCTTCCAATGCTACTGGGGGAGAGGGGAGGGAACTCAATAGATCTGCAGCCAAGTATGAGATCTCTGACACTGAGCCTGTCTAATAATAATGGTTTATGTTTTATGTGTTGTATGTAAATGTCCAAATAGTATGTATATACTGTAGTAGTTCAGGTGTAGGCTGCAAAGGAACAAGTAATAGATTTATTCCATGCTGAAAAGCATGGAATAAACCTATTACTTGTTCCTTATTTATACTGTCAATGACTGTAAATGCTATGTTAATTGTTTCTGCTTTGGGAACACTGTAATTATTCAATTCAAGATACTTTATTCATCCTAGGAGAGCAATTTAAGAGCAAAGGCAATTTAAGGGCACATAATTGGTCATGCCAGAAAAAGCTCCTTGAATTTGAAATTGTACGCTGTGTGCGGCGTGACCCCAAATTTGATCTGAGCCTCAGACAAGCAGCAAGCAGGCCCAGAATGCCAAGAGGCTGGCCAGTCACCGTGGGGGGCTACGTGTGGCTGGGAGCCCCTCCTCCAGCCTGCCCTGAAGCTGCAGTACCCTCGCTGACCTGCAGGTGCCGTGGTTGCACCAGCCGTGGCCCTGGCACATGCTCGGGCACTGCTGGCCGATGTAGATGTCGTCCAGTGCCCACTCGTCGGGGGCGCCGTAGTAGCTCTGGATCCAGCGGAAGCGCGTGGCGCTGGACCTGACGCAGGGAAGAGCGGAGGGAGAGGTGTGATCGCGGACCGGGCCGCGCCAGGCTGCCAGACTCCGAGGCGGGTACCCCGATCACTTTCGTCTCCCACCCCGACCAACACCCAACAGCGACAGCCGTGTGTTCTCGTGTGTGTGTGACGGATGAGGCCTAGGGCCGGGAGGGAGGGGATGCCATTAAGGTTTTAGTGCTCGTTTCCCGCTCCAGCGACCCCAAGTGATGTTTCATTGTGACCTTTGACCCTTATCCACTGATAGACGCTTGGTAGGATGTTTAATGCCCCTGGATACTCCTGCTGACCCTGAAATTTCACCCTTTTCCATGAAAGTGGGATAAGAAAGGCTTTGTTTACTGTCGGGGTGGGTGCCAGAAAACCAGGGTGGAAATGGGGGTGACCGAGCCCCCTGAGCCGGGAGTGGAAAGGTGGAGCGCAGAGCAGGAGTGAGTGTGGGAGGGGGGACAGGGCACCCCTGTGTGCTGGGTGTCAGGGTCGTACTCACCAGGTCTTCTGAGGGAGGGGCAGAGTGACCCTTCGCCACTGTGAGAACTCGGAGGGGTGATACACGCTGGGGGCAGTAAACTCCACACAGCTGGGCATCCCGGGCAGACAGGCCTGGAACAACACAGCACGGCTCAGTACACTACCGCACGTCAGTATAATATTCATCTCTGCAACCACACAGCTCCAGATGGAGCGAAAACGACATACTAGAAATTCTGCGGAGAGTGGAGGGAAAGAGGAGGTCAAGTAAGAGGAGAAGAAGAAAAATAAGGCCAGAAGACAAAGAAGGTGCAGAAGAAATGAAAAAGGAAGTAACCCAAGGCTAGTAGTAGCAAAGATCAGAGCAGCGGTGCATGGCTGTGTGACCTGGAGGCTGCAGTGTTACGCTGTGCCCAGCAGGGCGGCTCTCTCTCTCTCTCACCTCTTGCACCAGGTGCCAGGTCAAGCCGTGGTTGGTGGAGAACTCCAGGCTGACTTGTGTGTCGATATGTGGTGAAGCCTCACGCCCGCAGCCCAGCACCAAGGCAAACTGAAGCATGTAGGACGCCCCTATCTGCATGGACTGGGTCTCCACATAGCGGATACTGGAGCCAGGGCTGGACTCGCCTGTGAAACTGGCAGAGCCGGAGGGAAGAGAAAGTTCAGTCCCTGTGCTCTAA